AACCATTCAGAAAGTTTCTACTTAACAGCTGCTATTGCTGCATGATCAAAGAAAGGTTTTCTTGCTAATCGTATACTTGCTTCAGCCATTATCTTACGTGTCGCACGCTATTTTCCGTAACAACGTTCGATAGTGCTTCTACTTCATGGGAATGGGTGCAGAGAGAAATTAACATTTTTTAAAAATACTCAAATGGAAATAATATTTTTTCTTTGATCTCACTTTCTACTCTACTTGACTCAGTTCTCTAGCGAATGCTATTGTTCCTGACGTTGTACTTCTATTTGTTTGTGGTTATGATATATAAATGCTGTTCTTTTACTAAATACTGTATGTAGACCAATTTGATCATTGACTGTTTATGTGATCTGAACTCTGCAATTTCAAATAAAATAAAACGATATATCCAACATTATCCTGTAGGCTATTTAGTCAGCAAATGCAACACTGCGTACTAAAACTCCTTCAGACATCTACAATACACCGTGCAAGATGCGGGCTTGGCTTGTTTATAAATTATTGTTGAACATTCTTCCATGTATTTTGGTCTACGGTGATGCTTCGAACGGTTTAAATTTCTTCAAATACCAACAAATGCTTACATATACCGAAGAGTAAGAACCGAAAATTACCTGTGGGTAAAAATCGCCAGTTCACTACCATCAGTTTTGTTTTATAGAGCACTATTCACATAGTAAAAAAAAATTAAGTTTGAACATTAATCCATCGCTCGTCTTTCATATTTCTAAATTAAATAAGCGAGTACCATTATGCAAGAAGGACTCAAGGAAAAAAAACTGGGCGTATTATGTAGCTTTAAACATTGCTTTCATAAATACAGCCTCCTGTTAATAGCGTTGAAACGGACGTCAATGCTGAATCGTAGATTCTGTGAGAAAAGTACGGCAAATAGCGCCCACAATAAAGTTGTGAAGGACGTGAAAGACACTGACATCCCAACGGTTATGAACTTTCTTTTTTTCTGTTTTCTCTACTGGCAATATAAAAGATGATCATTCATAAATTTGGTTTTCCTCGTCTGTCGACAACTTGAATCGAGATAGAAGAACAAATTGACTGCACTGTTGAAAAACATTGAATATAGCCGTTTAAGCAAAATTTTCATTGGCCAACCGTTGCTCAGCATACTTCAGAATTAGTTCATTACAAAGTTAATTTATTTTCGGATAATTTTCAAATAAGCAGGCAGAGCGCGGACTCAATATAATTAAGAACTAACCTGCTGAAATGAAAGCTTGGTAGCTGTGCGGAGTCCGCTTCGGTAGGTCGAGGCAGTTGCTGCCCGCCATTGCTGCTCAGCAACAAATGTTTGTCACCAAAGCTTCACTAAGAACTCTGCATCTCTGAATCCGCTGGATTGGATAAAGATCCAGGAGACACCTGCAATAATTTATGAAGGTTTACACGTTCAGTGGACTACTGAAGAATTCAAGAATAGCGATGATTGAAAGATCGTTGATGTCGTGGTGGGCCCAAGACAAGGTAAACCAAATAGAAGATGAAGAACCAAGAAGTTCAACATAGAACTAAGTTGTTTAATGCAGGTTAAAGGAGTAGCAAGCAGTCGTCTCAACAGTATGTTTTAGGACATATATATCTAATATCTATTTTAGGATAAGTATATTTCAGAGTATGCATGCTGAGTGAAACTAACACATCCTGCCTTACTTTGCTGTGATATGTGATCCTTAGTGCAGTCGTCTAATCTCCACCACATAAACAGCGCTGTTGAACTGTCGAACAATGTACGAAAGCGTCATACTTGCTATTGAATGAGTTTTGTCAAGTAGGATGAATCTAAGAGCTGCAATCGGAAACTTAACATTAGGATTATTATTTTACGTTAAGGAATGAATTAAGAAGAACTTTATTTTTGATAAATACATGCGCTGAAGGCACACGCAAATTTTTTTTGACAGATTTCCTGGATATATTTCCTGTACCAGAAAAGAAACTTTTCTAATTTTGATAATGTTGCACGATGTGGAAGTTATATCGTGGACAGTTGTAAGCCTTCGAAGTCCATGAAGCAATTCAGTTGCTATCGACGGTTTTTGCACAATTAACAACAAACCAAATAAAGTCCAGGAAAGCCTACTTAGAAAGAAGGCTTGTAAGATACTGATCAAAACGTCACTCTAAACTTTTTCAGTCCAATTAACATTCTGCATTTAATAAATTGTT